CCCCCCCCCCCCCCCCCAATTATCATTCTGGCTACGGCACTGCAGTCTCGAGGGTCAATGCTGTTTTTGAATAGCTGGAGGGTGAGTATAGTCACATAGTAAGGTATGACACTAGCCCTCTATAGCTATTCAAAAACAGCAATGACACTCGAGAAAAGCTCAGATTGAACTCAGATTTATCTCGATAAATGCCACATGCCAGACATATAATTGTGGAATCTAAAAATATAAACAGTTTATTTAAAGTGGATAGCTCTAATGATTTTGAAGACAAAGATACTGCATGTGGCCATGTTGAAGGCTTCATTGCTTCAAATACAATATAGCTGCTAATCATATTCTTTTGATAGCATTCTTGGCGTCAAGTGCAAACCAAGAATTTGCTTGGAGGTAAGTAGTTGCTTCGAATAACTCTACGGGGAGTTGATAAACTCCATGATATGAACAGCGTGGGATTACTATTCAAAGAACTCTTAAAAATAACCACAGACACACGAAGGGATCAATCCTATCAGGGTTCGTAGTCTCCAAGACCAAAAAAATTCAAAGACTTTCAAAGGTTTGTGCTGTCTATTTTCAAAGACTTTTCAAAGATCTTTGAGAGCAATCAGCTGTCGAAAAATTACGAATGTAAGCAACATTTTTACCCAGTAATTAGTCCCGTCAAATCACATGCTAAAATGGACCTTTTCGTCGATATTTGCGAAAATCTTGTTTCAATCTATCTATTTTATCAGCTAGGAAATCGTATAAGCAAATACTCACTAAAGAATTCAAAGACTTTTAAAGACTTTCTTCGCTTTTTCACACAATTCAAAGACTTTTCAAAGACCTTAAAGACCTGAATTCAAATTTAAAGACTTTCAAGGATTTCAAAGACCGCTGCGAACCCTGCCTATTGATTTCTTATGCAGTACTGTCCTTACTTCGACAAAAGCTTAAAGGCCCATTTACTGTTGAAATTTTTGCTGCGACTTTCTTCTACTGATGTATGTGAATAAGTGGATGAGTTGTGAATGATCAGATGAGGCAACACATACTCAGAATATTCATAATTCATACATACATATATACATACATACAAAACTTCATTTAAACCACGCTAGCCTCAACAGCCGTTGGAAGGCTGGTCTCCATGAGGGGCGTGAAATTACCTATTTACAAGAAATTAACTACCTACAAGAAATACAAAATATAACAAAAAAATACAGGTGATTTTAGCTGCACGATTACACACATCATTCTTTGTTTCAATATCGATTTGAAATAGTAGCTTATAAGGATTCAGCAATTTTTGCCTCATGAGGAAGATTATTCCAATGCAAGGCACCATTATAACTGAAGCACCTCTTGCCGAATTCTTTTTTCGGCATAGGTGGTGCTAAATCAGTATCCCTATTTCTAAGATTGTAAGTATTATTGTCTTTCATTATTAAATTGAAATGCTTCTTTAAGACTGGGTGCGGTGTGGCCATTCAGAATTTTATAGATGAAAATAGATTTAAGATAATTTCGTCTTTCTTCGAGAGGTTTCCAATTTAGATTATTGAGTAACTCGGATGACCGAATCTCGACTCCTCGCATCAAAGAAGAAATGGCAGAACTTGAATATAAATATCAAAATGTTTTTTTTCCTTATGCCTACAAAAGTAAGATGTTTGTGATGTGATCGACTCTGTAATAACTCTGAGTGTATATCCACACCGGGCAAGCTTGAAAAATATGCCTGGCCACGGTGGGAATCAAACCTACAACCTTTGGAATACTAGCCCAATGTTCTGCCAACTGAGCTACGCGTTCAGGTTGGTTCGAGTATGTGATATTTCGGAACTGAGTCTAGTTCCTTCGATAAAAAAAAAAGAAAAAGTAAGAGATTAAAATTTCATGTTTAAAACCCAATAAAAAGCATACTATCTTAATTCTTCATTATCCCAATAATAAAGATATTATATACATCACGTACGCGACTGAAATTAAGTCTGTAATCTCGTCTGTAATCACAACTCAAGACTTGTAAAGCGAGTCTCCACGTGAAGAATTTATTCTGCTTTTCCGGTCAAACGAGAATGAGATTCAGAGAATACATAAAGAGCCTTCAAAGGTATTTTAAGTAGGCGTTTGTGGTGACAAAGTAGGCGGCTGGGAGACTAATTTTACAAATATGGGATAGGTTTTGACAATAACATTCCAAGTATGGTCATCTTACGTTTTTTCACCAATTTGTGGTTTCGTCACATGGGGCGGACCATTACAAAAGTGATGGGCGGAAGGGGGGACTTTTTAAAATTTTTAACTAACTATTTTTTTTTAATTTTTTGCTGGTGCCCATAATTTTTTTCAAAATATAATCCCTTGCACGAATTTTTTTTATTTCAACTCATAATTTTCCCTATTGGAAAGTCAAGTCATGCACGAATTTTCGTTCAAACTTTCTTGGTGTACCAACTTTTTTCTTTCTTTCCTCTGCGCGATCAGTTTTTGCTCCCTCCTCCCAACCCCCCCCCCCCCCCCCCCCCCCCCCCCCCCCATCACTTTTATAATGGTCCGCCCCTACGGGGTAAACAATTACTGCAGAACAAGTATGCATGAAATTCTTGTTTTGAAAAGAAATGCGTTATTAAACATCTTTGCTTTTTCCGCTAACTCGCATTCAAAATCCAGATTTTGAATGCGAGTTAGCGGAAAAAGCAAAGATCGATTTTGAACAAAACTCACTTCCGGCGTTCATCTTGCTTCAGTATTTGTAGCCTGATTTTTTGTTTTTTATAGATGGTAAGTTAATGCCAATTAAAAAACACTTCTATATATACTACTGTTTGTTCTATAATCTATTCTCTTACCAATGATTAACGTTATAAATTCAACTGAATAATACAGATTTAAAAGTGCATGTATGTCGGGTAATGTTTTAGAGAAGCTAGCCAGCAGTAAAGTTCGTAACACCTGCAGAAGCACCAGCTTATTTTAAAAGCCCTGCATATATACATTTTACAAGTTTACGAAGTATATACATGAAGTTGTACGTGTCTTTGTGCGTCTATGTGTGAGTCTGTCACATGCAGAGAGTGACCTCTCTAGTTTCTTCTATTGAGGGCCCTGAAGGGGTAAAATGGGAACTGGGATTGATCTATTTTTAGACTGGGAAAATGGGATTTGGGTTGCTGGGACTGGGATTTGGCCACTGGGAATGGGAAATGAAGTCTTCAAAAATGGGAATGGGATTGAGGTAATGCGAGTCGATTCCCAATTTTTCTACGTTTTAAGTATTTTAAAATACAATTTTGATCCGTTTTTGGTGTCTTTGGTCATGATTTTTGTTGTTAATTATATTATCAGCACTACCTGCGAACAGGCATCTGGCGCCCGGAATTCTGGGTTTTCTGATTATGCGTGTCTCAGAATGCTGCAAATGCCATTTCCGGGATTCAAATTTTAAAATTTTCTGTGCCTTTGGCACAAGCCACCCCCTCCCAATATTTCATAAAGTGTCCACCACTTGCACACACAGTGGCTTAAAAGGTCTTAAAACAGTTTATTCTACGGATAAATAAAGTGTTTTTTATTGACTGGGATTTCAATAACTCGGACTGGGATTTCTAATAAAA